ATCCTAACCGCAATACTAGTTCAGCCGCAACAATCGAACCAGAGCTAAGAATTGCTAAGACTTTCCGAAGAAGCATCTCGCTAGGAACTTAGTTTAACCTCCCCCCAAGAGCCGGACAGTCTCTCGTTGACTACTTCTATAATATGATTTTTTAGTTTTACTTTTGATACTCTTATAAATTCAAATATACATTTATACAACAGGGATCCGACAAAGCAAAGGGAGACCAGAATGGCCATTTCTGGCCTTTTAGCCGTCGTCAGCCGATGATACCCAATCTCGAGGGTTGGAACCCCCAAGATTCTAATCCGGGACTTTTGGTCATTGAGTTTACCACTCTATCACAGCACCATTTCATCCTATCTAATTTGTCACTATGTGACTACCTGCGAGGTCTCTAATTGTGAGCTTCTGAGCGAAGCGGAACTTAGTTGTTCCTCTACCAGATCGGCGAAGCACATATATTCACATAATTATATTTTATGTAGGTGGGTGGGTGGCTAGGGGTGCAACAGACCAAACGCAGACAGCTGTTTCATTATTTTTATCGATCAACAGTACGTCATAGGCCTTACGTAGTGGGATATATAGACAGGTCAGGTAAGCACGTCACCTACACCGCTGTGGTTAAGATATTATTTGACCTCACTCTGTCTGTCCACCAGATTGCAAACGGGCAAGCGTAAGTGAAACTGCAGTTTGTGTTCAAATGTATCCGGGGATTAAAAGGTTTTCTTAAAACCAAAAGGTATCCTTTCTTTAAACGTTACATTTAAAGAAGATGGAAGTTGTTAACAGTGAGCACAAGAAAAAAACTTTTTCTCTTTTTTCTATGAAATATGGATATATGAATTTAGAAGGATATCAAAAAACAATGCAAAAATTCCTACCATTCAATTGGTCGTTTTTAACGCATTTAGTTTTTGCAAACGACCAGAAAGAAGCCCATTCAGAAGACGTAGTCCTTATGTGTTCGAAATATACTTGGATTATGCTAAAAGTTAAAAAGTATTACAATCCCGCTTCGGCACTGTTGACTGTTTTAATGTTTTTCTTAATTATAATCTGCTTAGATTTTATGAGCAAACTGGAAGTAAAAAGGATCCTTATCAATGTGCTTGCTCCAGAAAGCAGGGGATCCTAAAGGAAGGGCACAAAAAAAAATAACTCATGAAGAAGGAGAATGGCCAAGAACCGAAAAAGCGAAGCCGTCGGAAGCAGCACATCAAAACCCGATCCAGTAAGCATGACCAACGAGCAGGTCTTGTGTTTTGGAACCCTGTGGCATGTAAAGCAACGAAACGAGAAAATAGGCGCTGCGCAAACAAAGCTGGCTCTTTAGAATTGAAACAACACTGGTTTACTTAAACAAGATAAAAACCAAGAGCATCAGAGTTTTATTACTAGCTGTAATTATACTGCTTTGAGGGAATCGTCATCTCACGCAATAAGTAGTGCGTGATAATCACAGAATATGCGTGACATACTCCCCTAGTACCAAATTGTTTGATATTTAGCCCCATATTTGTGGAATTTGAACACGAATTAGAGCATACGCGAACTTAGATATAAGAAACGAGCTTTAGTGTTAAAATGAACATATATAAACGATAAAACTTTGCGAGTTGGACTAGTGTAAGCAGTGCTTTCTTGTCTGCATCATCACCCTGTGCAAATAGATGAGTTTTCCGTCTTTTTAATATCCCAACCACTACTATTATTTCATTTATTGACAAACATAGAATGATATAAATGCCGTTTTAATCGAGTGGATAAATTGATGAATCAGAGAAAATTATAATGATCAGAAATTAAGATAAATAGTGGTTTGCATGGCTGAATACAACAGTAAACTTCTAGTAGACGCAAGTCATTCAAGTTCATATTCATTTCTTAAGAAGCGGTAGTGAGAACAACCCTAACTACTTTTCAAAAATGCTTCCAGAAAAGGGGCAATGGAAACGCAGGGATTTCAAAAAAGTTTTTTTTTTAATACAGCCGCCTTAATGTCTTGGTGATAAGATGCCATAAGTGGAACTGACCGAAAATACTGATACAAAAGCATTTGTGCTAAGGCGTAATCGCGTGATGGGTTTGTCAATCACATTAGCATATCGCCACAAAAGAATGTTATATTAGTACTACTTAAGGAGATAAAGTAACCCTAATTTCTAGATGGAGTTATCGTGATTGTTCCGATGACACAATTGCTCAGAGAATGTCGGCCTCGGTGGGATTCGGATCCACGACAGTATGGGTAAGGTTTCCTTGCATGCAACGGTCTGGCGACATGAGCTACGAGGCCCTTACGAAGAATTAGCATTCATCCGAAACGCCTATCACGTTAATGGCGAGGAAACCAAAAGAAGTTCACAATTGTTGCAAGAAGGCCACCGAGATGTTTAGAATAGGGTAATATTAATTATTCGATGGTACTGTCTAAAACTTTAACTCAAAATTCACTAGAACCATTAAGAGTATTCCGCAATTTTCATTCAGTAAATTTGCCCTTTGAAGGAAGACAAACCTTTATCTCCACAACTACCACCGACAAAATATGGGACATGAGAATGGTCATTTATGGCTTATTAGTAATTATCCATCTGTACTATACCCCCCTAAGTTGCTTATGAACCTAGATTTTCAATCCCAGTTTATTTAACAAATGGGAATTTGAAGTACACTACTCACTGCTCACAGCAAAAGAAAGGAAGCACATATGTTTCCCTGAGTATATATGGCCATATGCATAGACAAGATATGTAAACGGTGCTGTGCTTGTCAAAGCCCACAGAAACATGTTTTTTTTATAATTAAGTGACAATGTTCCTTCATAACACTCGAAAACATGAAGTAGTCCGTAACAGACAAGAATGAATAGCGAGTTAAGCACTTACCAATGGCATAGTCCATGATGGCAGTATCAGCAGCAGTCGGCTGCCACATCAAATTTAAGTACATTTCGGCCTTCTCATAGATAGTCGTTGCAGTATTGTAGACAGGATTGCTCAGCACATCACAGAAATCCATTGAAAAGCTTTGGACATAACTTGGTACGTATACAGCGCTCCACTCGCGTTTCTTGTCTAGCGAATATAAAAGGAAAAAGCGATAATCAAAATATTGTTAACTTGCATAACTTTCAAAAATAACTAGTTAGAAGTTCGTCGGCGCTAAACTGTCGCAAAATTTTCAGTTTTTATGAATAATAAAACATGAAGCATATAACTACTGCTCAGTCCATAACTAGCAGTTTATTATTAAAAATAAAGAGGAAACAAAAGGAAACGATAATCAATCTTTTTAGCGAGAGTGGTCAACTGTGAGCAATAACATGGCTGAAATGGATAAATACTAGTGCGTAATGAAGAAAATTACTGTCAAATAAAGCAAGCCTCTTAAGGAAAAGGTAAGCCGTTGAGCAGCGTAAAACTCAGGAGGGACGAGCAACTAAGTGGATCCAGTAAGGACACATCACAACAGCAGAGCACATGCAGTTGTGTGAAAAAATTGATCAGTGATAAAGGAAACGTCTGCAGCCCTAAGCGGCTGAGCCATAAAAAAGCCTACAGTGGACGGTTGACCTACTGTGTCGACTCAAATAACCGGAAATAGTGTCCTTTGATGCTAAGCCTGGGGCGAATGAAGAATACACCGGAAATGATTGATATAAATAATTTTGTTCACAGCTCTAACAGCCGAAGGTCCAACCTAGTACAATCTCTTTGCCATAAGCAAGCTTGATAATTTTAAATTTTTACTTAACTATCAAATAAGCCCTGACGAGGTGTACAAAGACAATGAGCGTAGTATCATATCGTATTAACTGTGGTAAGTACAGCAACAATTAATGAGGTAATTTAACTAAAACTGTCAGCAAAACTGCGATAGCTACTCATAGTATAAAAGAACTTAAAGAAAGCTGCTCCCAGGATGTTGTGCGAATTAAAATATTACCTAACGAAATTCAATCCATACGATCATTTGGAAATATCCCAAAACTTATAAATTGTGACTACCAGCTTTGTGCAGCAAGTAGTCTACTCCTGCACACGCATTTCTTTTGTAGCTCTAATGTGTAAATTGTTATGGTCAGCCAACAATGTGCCACAGAAAACCGATAGCAAGTGTCAGTTGTCCATGAATGGTTCAATGTGTAACTTCAACATCTAAAGACGGTGGCAATGCCACTGATAAAAACTGTCTGGCAGCTTTCCATAAAGCCATTTGAATTAGATATGGAATATGGACAAATTAATGGGGAAAACGAGGAGACGGTTATCAATGCCAAACTATTTCAATAAAGTAAAGCTAGGGTTTTTAAATATTGTTTGGTAAAGAGTTCAGTTTGAACAGAACGTCATAACACCTTTGGCACACAGATCTAACCCAGGCCATTAAAATTGGAATAACAACTACCCAGGTTCATAAAAAACTGATTACAAAGAAATATAGATGGGAGGTCAGCTAAAAAGGATGCATAGGCTCTGATTAAAAAAGTGTTGACTTGGACTCCAATGCACACAGGATCAAAATAACACGATCCACCAACTACGTTCAGATCTTATGAACGCTGTGAAAGTTAAACGAGCTTTGACAGGATACACCGGGGAAAATATATATGCGCAAGTTTTATGTGTGTACAACGGTGAAAATTATCTTCCTCACCCTGATACGTCGGGCTCTGACACGTTAAACGAATGAATTGGTTATTTGCCAGAGCTCAAATGCTAAGATACTGTGGTTTTATCCGTTAATATAGGCGAAAAATTAGTAACTTATTGTCCTCCAACAGTCAATATTAAGCTTGTTCATTTCAGCTGTTTTTCCCACGCAGTCATGATCCTTTACGAAGTGTTCTCAAAAACATCGAGAGGTCCACCCACGTAGCCTCACAGGTGTTCAGACGCTTTTCTGAAAAACGGCTCGCTAGGTTACGGCCAGCTTCACTATTGTTAGAAGATGATGAGGGAGTCGCACGGCCTTTCAAACTGCCAAAGCGATCCACCGCGATTTTTCACAAGGGCTATGTTCTGTCCACAGAGTCACCCAATAATGTCGTACTTGTTGGATATAAGCCGTGCATCTTACGAAGTTAAGGTGCTGAAAAGCGGACTTCTACTGCAGCAGGCCCGAGACGGTGCCCGAAAGGCGGAAACATACGAGAACATCTCTAGTTCCAAGCACGACATGAATAAGGTACCAAATGTTTCATTGAATTATCGTTCGCATGCATTT